ATAATGTATTGGAACCGAAGTCTTTCGTTCGTTATAGGCTTAAAGTCTATGTATTTACTAGTATACAATTCCTTATTCTGCTACAGGTTTTGTCATTAGACGAGTTGTTCTCTAATTTAACTAAATTTCAGACACAAAGCAAACGAGGTTTGAAGCAGTATTTTCAGAAGGTTGCTCAGCGCTTGTTTCACAGCAATTGTAAATGCTTACTAAGAAGACGGTCCCAACCAAGTGCACAGTTCCACCAAAGGTGCTCTCCAGGGCTTGAACCTCATCGAATGACACTGGCCAGCGAACAAACTATTTGTCTTCACATAGCAAACTCCACACTTACCTACCGATCTTTTTTTTTTTTTTTATATATTTTGACCAGCACTCTCAAGATGCTTCGCAGAACTAATGACGTCTGGAGACCTCGATCCTCTTATGCACTCCCTTGTGCCGGTGATACATAATCAACGAACACACTGCACCGCTCCGCTAGAGCAGCTGTAGCCTCTCTCTGTCTGAATCATCGATGGCATTAACTGGAGACGAAGTCCCGTCTCGTGGGGCATAACCAAGAAGCTTGGCCTTAACCCACAAAGCGTCCATAAACAGTAAGCTTATTAGCATCCCATGTCGGTCATCTCCGCTCACGGCACGGCTCACGGCTCACAACCACTTTACAGTCAAGCTTGAAGCCACCCCCAGATCCAACCACTCTCCCCTACAATACTTACCACTTCCCCGGATCCAGAGGACGTCACCTCGTATCTCCGCAATCTTTTCAAACTCAACTCTGTTCACCAAAACCCGAGGTCATGCGGCCTTCTGTGTCTCGATTACGATAACTTTCACCGAATCTGCTCAGCATCGTGTTCCCGCCTCTTTGTTTGCAGACGCCCCGGTACCATGGTATTTCGAAAACCGGCACGGTGGAAACAATGGCAGTTGACGACAACCATGACTATACCACGCGCGGGCCGGTAGTGTTGGCGGTGACGGCGTCTATGCTTGTCTGCTCGACTGTATTCGTCGTCTTCCGATTGATGTCGAGATTCTGGATAGTACAGAAGCCAGGATGGGACGATTATACTATAATACTGGCATGGGTGAGTAAGAGCTAGGCATGGAAACTGGTGGAACGGCCGGCTAACAATGTGCCTGTAGATATTCGCATTTGGAACGTCCTTCGCAACATGTTACGGCACATCGGTGGGACTGGGTCGACACGAGGTTGATGTGCCTCCAGAATGGCACTCCTCGTTGACAAAGTCTGAATATGCGTTTTCTGTTCTATATGTAAGTACCGGACATCTTCCCCAATTTTGGACATTCACTGAGATACTGCAGAATCCCGCTTTGATGGCAACCAAGACATCGATTCTCCTATTCTATCTGACCTTGTCCAAGGCCTCGAAAATATTCCGCTGGACAACCATTGCGACCCTAGTAATGGTCAACGTCGGCGGTTCAGCCCTCACACTCCTGAATATCGTTCAATGTCGACCTGTATCCGCAGCCTTCCAATCTCCAATTCCATCCTCAGCAAAATGTACCGATGTCGTTACTATCTATCTCTCTTCCGCACCGCTGAACATCGTCACAGACCTGGCCCTTTTATTTCTCCCTATGCCAGTATTGACAAGTATGCGGTTACCCAAGAAACAAAAGGCGATTCTTGTATTCACTTTCGGATTTGGTGTTTTTGTGGCGGTTGTGGATGTAGTCCGGATTGCTTATCTTCAGGGAGCTGCAAGAGCACGTCTCGAAGATATCCAGAAGCATAAAGCGGTATCCGGAACCGACTCGAGGAACCGGCCTAACGACTTCTCTTGGTACGCGGCTTTGACCTTCATGTGGTCTGCCATCGAGATCAATGTCGGAATAATGTGTGCATGCGTTCCGGCGCTGAAGCCGTTGGTATCTCGATTCGTTCCCCAATGGATTCACGATGCGACTCTTCGATATTCAACCACAGGCAGTATCGTCGCAAGACACACGGATTCAGTATCAGCGAGAAGACAATCTACGAATCCGGAAGCGGCTCTATCAAAACCTCCGCCGGCTCTATCACAACCTCCCCCAGCTCTGAACGGTACCGAAGGGTTTATGGATATAATGGACTTCCTGACCACTCCGGACATGAATAGATTGGCCCCATCCGTTACTGCCAATAGCACTCTGGCCGACAGTCCCCAGGGTCGAAAATCTTCCACGCCGGCTTTCTTCGACTTTGTAGATGTGAAACGGAAAAAGAAGAATATCACTCTTATGACGAATGGGGAGTCCGTTTTCCCTATTTTGATGGTCACTGTGCTGTTCTTCATCTGGGGCTTTGCTTACGGGCTGCTTGATACACTCAATGCCCGATTCCAAAGAGCAGCGCACATGACTGAGGGACAGACCGTTGGAGAGCACAGTGCTTACTACCTGGGCTACATCATTGGCCCACTCACTTTTGGCCGGCTGGTCTTTCGCCACTGGGGTTTCAAAGCCTGTTACATGGTCGGCCTCGTAGTTTACGCATGCGGTACTTTGGTATTCTGGCCTTCCGCAGTCCTGACTTCGTTTCCCGCCTTCCTCATCTCGAACTTCATCGTCGGTCTTGGTCTGTCCACCCTCGAAATCGCAGCGAACCCATTTATCGCCCTCTGTGGTCCGCCAGAGTATGCCGAAATCCGCCTTAATCTCTCACAGGCCGTCCAGGCCATTGGAAGCATTCTGTCTCCTCTCCTGGCACAAAAAGTACTCTTCAAATCATCAACAGGGTCCCTAATAGACGTCCAATGGACGTACCTTGGCATAGCCTTCTTTACCATTGCCTTGGCAATTGGATACTACTATGTCCCGCTACCGGAAGCTTCAGAGGAAGAACTAGACACTGCTTCCGCCCGCATGCCCATTCCTCACGACGCTACTCTGCAGAACACGCACATCAAAGTTGTCTGGATAACCCTTGGCCTCAGTGTCTTCTCCCAGTTTTGCTATGTCGGGAGCCAGGAGGCCATTGCCACTAGATTTGGTGACTTCATCAAATACACCATGCCGAGTTTAGACTCGGTCAACCACCAAACCATCTCCCATACCGCCTTTGCAGTGTCCCGGTTCGGTGCAGCCATAATTAACATCTGGATCAAGCCCCGATACCTACTCCTCTTCTTCTACCTAGGCTCCATTGCCTTTGCAGCTGCCTGCATGACCGGCCATGGAGCCAAGCCTGCCATCTATATCATCATCACCGTCTTCTTCGAAGGACCTATATTCCCCCTAATCTTCGCCCAGGGTCTCCGCGGCCTGGGCAAACACATCAAAGACGCCTCGGTCCTCATCACCGCTGCAATCGGCGGCGGAGCCGTCTTTCCGCCCATCATGTACGGCGTTGCCCAAATCCGCGATCCACAGTTTGCGTTCTGCGTCGTGATCGCTGCGTTCGCATTTGGGGCTCTTTTTCCGATTTGGCTGAATGTGCATCCTACGGCGAGACAATTGGCGGATCCGGTGCGGGATGAACAGACGAGGAGGGTAAGTATACAGAAGCGGGAGATGAGTGGGATGCAGAGGAAACGGTTTGCGGGACTTCGGAAGAGGCTTGGTAAGACCGGGCGAGGGGAGGAGTTGCCGATGAGTGAGCATCGGGAACGTAGGGTGTCGAACACACCGTTGGGTTCAGATACTGAGTACCCGACGATGACGACGTCGAAGACTGGCTCGTCTCCTCTTTCGCCTTCGGGGCCCCATCATGTGAGTCCACTCTCTCCGCCGGAGGAGGGGACGGATGTGAGGGATATGGCTATTCCGTGGGGATCTTCTGGGTTCAATTGAGATTTATGGTGTTGATGGTGTTTATGGTATTTTATGATTTACGATATCATGGATTTGTGGAAAGCCCAGGTTAACATTGGGGTGTTGATATACAGCTCTGATGCCGGCGTGTTGGCTTTGAAAAGTGTGGGACTTTATGTGGGTCGTATTCTTGGAACATTGCCTGTGATATACTGATATCGTTTGAGGGTGTATATTGTGAGAGAAGAGTTACTTCAATAAACACCTGTAAGCAGAAGAGTGCTTTTACTTCCTTATATTTATATTAGCCAAGCCTTGATATCCTGCAGACGTCGGTCTTCAAACCGACTTTTTGTGTCTATCCAGCTTTCGATCCGGTAAGGACATCTGATTCCTGGCGTATGGCCAAGTGCTTTAATTTTACTTCGCTTGGTTGTTTCCCCTTCTAGTGATAGTCGTAAGATACTTTTAAAAGTTACGCTTTTCCTTTAACTTTAACTACGAATGTCTGGAATCTTGACCCATTCGTCATTTCTTGGAGATATTGGACTTGCTCTACTATACTGCACCTTTATAAGGTGGGGATTCCTGACTTAAGAATGGTATTCAATTACCTTGCCCGTTAAAGCATTAGATAGGAAAAGGAAATAGTTCTCCAGATGAGAAGGGTATCCAGAAAGATGGCGTGACTTTCTAGTGTATCTGACTTTCCTACTATAAGAACGAATCTGCACGGCTTTTCCGAACGACTGTATAGAGGGTGATAGTACAAAAAAGTACTTTTATTCTTGATTAAGCTAGCGTAGACATCTACATTAATGGGGAGATTAGTAAATTATTCATACCGTCGAGCTTGCTTCCTTTTTGAATATGCGTTTGATGCAATTTTTTTTCCCTTCTACTTGTCATGGTATCCGTTCCAGTTCCAGAATCGGAGCTGGAGCTTTCTCTGTTTGGGAACATTAAAAAGAGGGAGGGGCCGGTTGGCGAGTTAGAGGGGGTGTCATTTAGGACACCTTTTTCTTGTATTTTGAGTCTGTTTATGAGGTGATTTAAGATGACGGATTGTGAGGGTGTGAAGAAGATTTTGTTGTTCGATGCTTGCATTGAAAAAAGGAAGTTCTACACTGTGCATTTCAGTCAGGTTGCGAAATACAAAAAGAAAATCTTTCTATTGCTTGAGTCTCCTATTCCTTCAAAGCTGTAGCAGCACAAAAAGGGCAAAAAGAAAATGCCTACTACTGGAATTGAACCAATGATCTTTGCATATGCCTGCAAGAGTACAAGTGCAACGCGTTACCACTGCGCCAAGCAGGCCGGTGTTTTTATTGATGGAGATTTTATCAAGTAGATGGGCCTTTCAAGCAATGTTTTAGAAAGTACGCCCCACTACTCCACTCCACTTTCGGCGGTGAAGCGACCACCTACGTCTCCCCGTGAAGAAAGAAGGCTTTATAATTTGAATCTACAGGATATCAATAATCCGAAAAATGCTATTTCGAGTCAAGAACGGATAAGAGACAGAGTATAGGAGAATGCAGATGTCGATCATTTGTTCCAAAGTGGAAAAATATCAGTTTCTAAATAGACACCAAGGGATCAGTCAGCACCAATAACGTTGAGTACACTACGCAGGGGAAAAAAAAGCCCACAATGCAGTTTATATCTTGCTAGTGTGGTATTCTTAATATAGAAGGTGATATTCTGGAGAGAGAACATGATATTCTTAGTACAGAATGGACTATTGAAATATCGTTAGCAATGAGTTGGAAATCAGATATGGCGCGCTGCCGAAATGCGCGGCGCTTGAAGATTAGGATATCGTTAGCAATATATGTATAATCAATATCGCGAGCACGCCCTATCACTATTAGGATATAATGGTTAAGCGCATCCATTCGATAAAAAAGTCTGAAACTGGGTTGCAGTCGCATGGGGACGGTAGGATACGGACATGTCAGCGCTTCATGTCCGACAAACTGCAACTGCATCCCATCCTAAATATACGCATCAGCTTCAACGAGGCTTTTGATAGCCTGCCTTAACTCCATAGAATTCAAATATTTTCCTAAACGAGGAAGGCTTCTTAGAAATCGAGCGTATGAGAAAATAGAATAAGACGGATGTTCCAATGTTGCTTGCCAGGCATTTGTCAACGCTGACAATTGCATTCGCGATATGGTGTTGCAGTCGCGGACCTCCGAATCGCGAAAAAATGCGTTGCATATTGCAAGGCTGCGGGCAGCGGCAGGCGAACATCGGCAAGCGGAGAAGGCCTAGTCTCATTTGTACCATCTCGCTTCTTTATGGAGATAATTATTCCCGTAGAACACGAATATTTTTTATTTTTTCTCGACCTTCCGGTGGTTGCATTATTAATGCTGGTCACGGCAGTTCTGGTGTTGAATTGTTGAAGTTTTCTGGTTCGACGTTTTTGAGGAAAGTCGGCCGACACTCGGCCTGATTAAGAAAACTTTTTGGCTTGGATGCGGGAAGCACAGCCATACGGATTTCTTTCTTTCCGCTGCACGTTCAAGGCCGTATTTTCGTCCCGGACATAGTGAGTTATCAAACATCCCTTTCCGGGTCAGAGGAGGTTAGAACCGGGTTTATTGTCTACTTGGCAGTATGGTATCTTCTGATGTCCTGAAAGGGCAACCGTGCTAACATGCAATTACTTAGAATAGAAACAGTACTCACGGGTATGAAAAATGTTTGACAGTTGTCTAATTCACCCTATAGAACTATTTAATGTTCGCTTGGTTTCGTGGGGGAGGGTTTGGCCACCGCGAACTTCAAGGTTGGAAATTACCCTACTTATGCGGCTACTCAAAGCTGGCACATGTGAGTTTATCAATTTCGATTTTCTCGGCTTCCGTATGGTTAAAATTGGAATATAGGAAAGGGAGTAATATAAGCAGAAAAATATAGGAAACAAAGGCTGTAAGCGCATAGGTTAGAAGTCCTCTCTGGTTTCTGCCGAGACGGAGCTGTTCTGAGTGGTCATTGATGATCAGCAAGGCATATAGAAAAGCGTCATGAGAAGTATTAAATTAAATTGTAAAGGGCAGTGATGATCGGATAGATAGATTTCGAAAGGGTGCCATCAGAGGGGATGATGTAGTCCCTGTGTATGGCTTTGAGCCCTGAAATTCCACAAGACTCTATTGCTGGGGGAATGACAGTAAGGCTAGCTTCCGTCGGGAATAGCGCCCGCTGAAAAGGTAAGGGCAGGATGGAAGCACCCCACTCGCCATAAGGCTGATCGCAACTCCGCAGAGGGTTTCAGCATGGGAAAAACGAGATAAGAGGCCTTGTGAAGTTGATAGGAGAGAACACCCGTTTGCAACAAATAAGGAACTGTGCCGTGCAGAAAATAGAAGCGCAGAGTTTGTGAGTATTGATTTCAGGGTCTCGCGGATGATGCCATCTGGAGTGACGGAACTCTTCGTCCGACGTCATTTCGACCGGATCTGCGCTCGCTTGGCGGGTGGGGCCCCTCAACCACAGGGATCACAGAGACCGTTGGGCTTAAGGAAGCGACGATCAGCTCCGTGGAGAAAGCTCGGTTTCCAAAAGGGAATTGTGGCTCAGACAACAGTGGCTTGTACAGCGATTCCAAACTTTCGATTCCTCCATGTGACAAACCAGCGATGTGGTCGACAGTTGCAGCAAATTTTTTTTGCAAAGTTTCATGGGATAATAATGGAATGGTGCTGGGTCGTTGTGCCGGCATGGTGCCGCCCTGTATTACTCTTTATCGGGGCCGCCGTGAGAAGACCCTTAACCACTAGGCCTTATCAGGCAGCGATACCCGTCTGAGCATCCAGCCCTACAAAGATGTGGCTGTGGCTGTGCGCATAGGATCTCTGACTTTGTTTCCTCCCGTCTGGGGTTGTTCGACCCCTACTGCCGCTGTGAAGAGCTTATGTCCAGCAGCCTTCTCCGCAGTGCACGTTTGTGGATGCCAAAGAGGACGAGACAACAGCCTGTGCTCAGATATGCCCTGGAGCCGTTTTAAACAGAATTCCTGTGCGGGCACTCCGTGATGCTGTGCTCGGAACCAAAACATTCCATGTCGGCTGGACTTCATCCTTTAGGAACTCTCATTCGGGGAATACTACGCGAGCTGTTAGGATGTATTGGTTGTTCTCTTATTCAGAATACTGGTCTGATATTGGCAGGACTTCGTCTTAGCAGCAAAGGTAGCGTGCAAATGCTACCAGTAAACCGACATGACCATTACACTTGTCCTCAACCATAGCCCTATCTGTCATCTAGGTGGTCTCGCACTCCAATATTGGTGACTATGCGCTCTATTAACCAAATTCGTATCGACGCGCATCAACATTGAATTGAAGCCGAGAGAAGCGATTATGACTATAAACAATGTTAGAAGTCCTATCTTGGCTGAGGTACTTTCAAAGGTCATGTGGTGACTGCGCGTGACTTCTCTCCGAGGAACACGACATCGATGCCTAGGCTCTATCTGAGTTTCTTCAAATCATCTGCCGAATCTGGCCGCCGAGTATGATGAGTAACTAAGACGACTGAGATTCGCTTCGTAAGCGCATCTTGCCGAAAGCGCAACGCGATGCGGGAGGTGCTCGAGCGGCTCTGGTGTGCATAGAGTGCTGACAAGCTATTGATAGTTATTTTGGGCGTAGACAATCGTTACAGGCTTGTTCGGAAGTGTTCCTGAAGGTTGTAGTAGAATTTTTGCATGTATGGATGTGGTGTGGTGGTGCTGCATACCACGCAACCACGGCAGTCCACCGAACCGATCCATACCAGGCCTGGACCTTTGCACAGCCATCAACGCCGCATGCTGGGCGATCCCTTGTCTTTTCCAGAATGTCTCGTGCATAAGCCGCTAACCCCTCCCCAAATCAGCCATCCTTGTAGAGTGGTGTGGTCAATCCCAGTAAATCGGCTTGAAGGCATTCGCTCAAAAGCCAATGACGCCAGTGATGATATATATGAAAGAAATTCATGCCCTCTACGCAACCCCCAAAGAACTCAACAACTCTCTCGCTCAGCCTACCCAATTTACAATTATTGTCGGTCCAGCTCTTCATAGTGTAAAAAATTCATAGATTAATCAGTTAAACCCGAGGTCTCCGAGTATATCCGGCGTATTCCACCGCATTCCATCCGGAGCACATCGTCACCTCACCCGGATTCTTTTTAATCCTTACGTATTGGGCGACCCACCCCGAGTCACCCTTTCTTGTATATATTACACCTTCGCCACCGGCCTAAGGCCCTCTTCCTACCTTTCTTTTACGATCATGCTAGCCTTTCAAAGACAAAACATTCAAGCATCTACCATACCTTCGCCTCCCTCTCCCCAACAACTGTCTTTCGAAGAAGTCTCACAGCTCGCCGCCCTTCGCTCGTCCGACTACAACCAAAAGTTGGTCAAAGACTATCTTCAACAGCAACAGTTGTATTCATCGCAAGGCCTTCAGAGCGACCACAGCCAGTACATGCCTGGCGCATACCTTGATCTGTCGAACCCTGCCATTAGGATTCAGCAGTCGACTCCCACACCGCAACTACCAACCGGCTTCTCTCAACCACCCATGCTCTCAGCCAACAACGCCACGACATCCAGTCTGAACAACTGGGCTCTCGCGAACAATGGGCAGCTGGATAGCCAGTCGCTGCAGACACCCGTACAGGATCGCACAGGCAGAGCGCATCAGCGCGCGTCCTCTTCCTCATCAATAGGGTCAAACGGATCACAGTATCAGCCCGTTGGTAACAATACCGGCTACTCGTATGTCGCTCACTCCGAGAGTTCGCCATCCATCTCAGCTGGCAAACTTGACTCATCATATGGTGCTGACGATGCATCAAGTGGTTTCTCGAAGCATCATAACCTTCCTACTCCGTCGCACACACCCACCCAGGACGCTTTTGCCATGAACCAAAACTACAACTACCCCTCGAACTCGGGGAACATGGACTCTACAATGGCTGCGCATATGTCGATGAAGCAGGCACTGATGGATCACCATGCCCCGGAGGAGGAAGTACCAGGCTTTGAACATTCAGCCCGACACTCCGTGTCGAGTTATTCACATGATTCTCCAGCGACACCCCACACGAACGGTGAAGATTTGGAGGATAAGTACAAGATGGCTCCAACTGGTGAGATATACCCTGGCAAGGTCGAGAGTTGGTTTGATGAATACTTAACTTACGATGACGACTCAGACTTGCGTCATACAGTCCCAAAGTATGAAACAACCGTTCCAAAATTTGAGAGAACCTATACAGACGCGGCAATAGATGAGCTTTACAACCCAAAC